TTTAGGGTTTAGGGTTGGGCTGCAAGCTGGGGAAACATCCCAAGATTTGAGTTTGTAGGGATTTAAGTGCTTAGGGTTTAGGGTTCAGGGTTTAGGGTTTAGGGTTTAGGGTTTACTGTTTCGGGTTTCGGGTTTGGGGTTTGGGGTTTGGGGTTCAGGGTTCAGGGTTTGGCGCCTCCTGCAAAAGGGATTAGGAAGTCTGGGGGCTGTAGGGTTGGGACTGGTCAGAATTCCAGTAGGAAGATCCTAAAGGATCAGCCCTGAACCGCTAAGTTGAAAGGACCCCCCTCAGAAAGGGTTTAGGTTTAGGGGGGTTTAGGGTTTAGGGTTTAGGGTTTAGGGTTTAGGGTTTAGGGTTTAGGGTTTCGGGTTTAGGGTTTAGGGTTTTACGTTTATGGTTTAGCCCTAAACCTCGCAAGCAAAAAAAACAAAATGCAGACTGAAGCAGCCCTTGACCAGGTATCCAAGAGAGAGCACGCGACTTCTGGGTGAGCTTGGGCGATTAGGGATTCTTGGCTTCGGAAAAGCAGAGAAAGCAGGAGAGAGGGTTGCAGCTCTGGCAGCCCTAAACCCTAAGGTTCTGTTTAGATTTCTTGGCTGTTTTGGGTTTAGGGCTGAGGGAAGTTTAGGGTTCGGGGGCTGAGGGCTTCCAGATGCGGTTTAACATACAAAGGATTACGCTCGTAGAGGTCATGAAGGCCCAGGAATCCCTTCAACTCCCTTCACTATATCCCCCTTGGGAATTGTTTTTTTGTTCATATAAAACCCAAGAGGACATTAAAAATGTTCTTTTTATTAAGGTTCGAAGATTCTAAGGGGGGGTATAGTTCAAAAGGGTTTAGGGTTAGCCCGAATCCAAAAGACCAATCACATCAGCAGAGGTGCTGAGAGTATTTCGGGCCAAGGGTCTTAGAGGGCGCCGGGCTGTGAACCGCAGATGTCGGCCTTACTCACGCACGCATGCTTACGCCAGCTCGCTTTGCAGGCTTGAGTTTGGGGAGGGCCCTAAACCCTAAACCCTAAACCCTAAACCCTAACCCCAAAGCCCCAATGAAGCCCTAAGCCATTTTTTCTGAGGAAGCTACAGCACGCACTGTTTGTGTTGGATGCGCTGTCGCTGAAGAGCTGTGAGGTGCCAAAGGGTTTAGGGTTCAGGGAGTGTTCGCCCCCCCGCCCCCCCCTACCCCACCCACCCCGCACCAGGGTTTAGGGTTTAGGGTTTACCTGGATCCTCGGGCTCCTGCTGAATTTCAGCCTTTAGGATAAAAGTAGCCTTTTGCGCATGGGGGGCAATTTTTTTCTGGTACTTTGGGAGTGTCTGAGCATTTTCTTTCGGGAAACGAGAGCTTAGTCTTCCTGTGGGAGACACGGTTGATGCCATTCGTTACTGTCGTGGCTCGAAACTTTTACATCCCTGACTCGTGGAGGGAACACCTTCCGAATGCCATCTATTTCGAAAGAGACCGTGGCTTCGCAAAGCGGCGTGCATAACACTGCTGCATGCATCGTTCAGTTGCGGGTGCATGAGACCTCATGGGACTGCGCACATGCAAGCCAGACCTGTTTTACATGAAAAACCTGTAAACCGAATGTGGAAAGAACACCCCTGTAAATTACAGGTTCTTCATGTAAAGCGGTGGGAATTACAGGACTTTCGTGTAAATGTATGTCAGTCTGTTTTTCTTGGAAAAATGGGAGGCGTATTTGGCCGCTCCAGCGGCGAATTTGGCCGCTCTAGCGGCGGATTTTGGGGTTCGCCCGCCGGCAGCCTGCCCAAGCTCCGGAACATGCGCAGTTTCGCTAGCAACCTTACTATTCGTTAACCCTCACCATGGGACATGAACTACTCCGGGAGCACGATGAAGACGATCGAGAGCTCGGCTGTTTCGGTGCCTTCTGAGCCCATGCCCTAACCCTGTAAGTCACCCTATCTAGACTCGAGACAGGGATGGTCCACTCAGGCTGAGTGCATCTGAGTGTTGTGTGATCAGCGAAAGACTGGTACAGAAAAAAGTAACCCTCTATCGGATGTAACTCCCTATGCTCAAAAAACCGTATAGCTCTGTCACTACGTATAGATTCGAAACACTACATATTGATTCCAAACCATGCCTCCTGATGATAATTCTCCGAAACCCGCAGAGGCAACTTTTGAGTGCAGAGGCAACAATTTCCGACTTCCGAGCCGGCGGCAAAAATAGAGCACACACGAGGTTTCAGGTAGGGTTTAGGGTTTAGGGTTTAGGGTTTAGGGTTTAGGGTTTAGGGTTTAGGGTTTAGGGTTTAGGGTTTAGGGGTTTAAGGTTGACGGTTTAGGGTACCAAATTTTGGGATCATATAGAGAATTGTGGCTTTGAGGGTCCTATGTTCAATGATAACAAGCAACCTGGAGGAAACAAACAACCACCCCCACCCCACCCCCCAACCCATTTTTAATTTGGCTTTGTAGAATACATCGTGCTTCGAATGTCCTGGTCCTTCCCGCACCAACGACTCTAGCAACATCAGAAGGAACGCCAGAAGGATGCAAGGGAAGTGGGGAGGTTTGAGGGCCCATGCGCTTCCGCAAAGACACACGTAGTAGTCCTTGACCAACCTATTCTGAATCCTAAGCCAACCATAGGGCTTCCGGCACTTCGGTCGAACAACAACCCTAACACCTTCAGCCCGAACCCGCATTGCGTTAGGGTTGCACAGGCAGGCAAAATTACGGAAGTTTGCCAGGTATATCTCCCTAAAGGGCTGTATATTGGGATTCTATGCGCAGCGCAAACCCTAAGTCCTAAACACTAAGCCCTAAACCCTAACATAACCCTAAACCCTAGAACTTGAGAATCCCACGCCCTAAGCCCTATAGGGCCCAGAACAAGCTCCACAAGCACCACCCGGCCACCACCCCTTCAACTAGTTTGAATCTCGTACAGGAAAGCTCAAGCCCCAAGCGCTTGAAGGTTCCCGAGAGTACCTCATCTGCGTGAACGTTCTACAACTGCACAACTACACAAGTCTGCCACGGTTTAGCTCTTCCACTCCAGTCCTCATAGTAACTTAGTGAAGGTTGCCGGGTTTGGGGTTTCAGGTTTTGTACTTCAGGGGCGAGACTCATGTTCCAAGTCAAGACATGTGAGGTCAGTGCTAGAATCTAGATGCCTGCTGGTTGTGTCTGCAGGTGAACGCCTTTCATTTCGGAACCTGCATCAGTGCATGCGCGAAGGCAAGCTTACGTATACAGCTTTTTGAAAGAGAGGTCGGGTTCATAGGGCTTTTAGGGCTCAGAAAAGCTCCAAAGTGCCAGGCAGGACGCTGGACATTTTCCTACGTTCACAATTCAAGCTAGGTAGGCCCTGGGGATATTTAAGATCTTCCCATACTGGGTTTTAGAGGATCATATTTTGGAACATGTTTCAAAGGGGTTTATCGCATCCCCTACTATTAAACGGGTGCCCCCCCCCCCCCCCCCCAACAGCCCCCGTGAAGAGAACGAAGTTTTCTAAGGGAACGCATGAAGCGTATGAGCGCAGTGAACGAAACCAAAGAATATAATTACGAACGGCCCTTACAAATAAAAATAAATGAGGCCGGTTTAATATTAATACAAGTGAACTCATTAAAATATTTTACAGACGAACGAAGTGAATGCGTTAAATAATTTATGAGGTCTTTTGTTCATTCCATTCACCTTTATCTCCATTTTTAGAAAAGCATTCTATTTGTCTTCGTTTTGTTCACTCACCATGTTCCTTTGGCAAAGAAGCCCACCTGGAATAAAATGAAGAGCAGATGAACGACATAGCCCTTACACTTACTTATTTATTTAAAGCATTCAGAGGGTGTAAGGGCCAGCCTGGAGTCAAGGGACAGGTAGGCAGGGCACCGGCCAGGAATCCCGAACAAGCCTTGAGGCTGAGCCTTAAGAGAAATAATGTTCAGCCCTACAGCCCCCTAAAGCCCTATAGAGCCTTAGAGCCTTAAAGCCCTAAACCCTAGCCCTAGACCCTAAGCGTAAAAACCAACAATCCCAGGTTCCGTGTATCAATTGCAGAGGATGACCTTCTCTCAATCTCTGCACCCCCAAGAAGCCCGGAACCTCCCCAACAGCCCCAGCAATCGCCCTAAAGGGTGTATAGGGCTTAGGGCTTCAACCCTAAGGCCCTAAACCCTAAACCCTAAACCCTAAACCCTAAACCCTAAACCCTAAACCCTAAACCCTAAACCCTAAACCCTAAACCCTAAACCCTAAACCCTAAACCCTAAACCCTAACTAAACCCTAAACCCTAAACCCTAAACCCTAAACTAAACCTTAAACCCTAAACCCCACAATCCCCTCATGTGCCGGGGAAGGCCGAATCCTGGAGGCCCGCTCTGGCACTGCTGGAGCAGATGCCCGTGATGCGGGTGGAGCCGAACACCGTGCCTTGGCCTTGAGGTTGAGGTTTAGGGCTTTAGAGCTTAGGGGTTTGGGTTTAGGGTGTAGGGTTTTGGGTTCAGGGCTTAGGGTTTAGAATGATAGTCCCTCTATGATATATATATATATATATATACTATGTAACCCCCCCAATCCTTGTTTATGAAGGCCCCTATATTGGGTTGAATGTTGGCCCCCTGATTGTTGCAGGCTCTTGGAGCTAAGGGGTTCAGCATGGCCTCCTTATTTATAGCGGTTGAGTGACGACTGCTCAGGGGTAAGGGTTTAGGGTTTAGGGTTTAGGGTTTAGGGTTTAGGGTTTAGGGTTTAGGGTTTAGGGTTTAGGGTTTAGGGTTAGGGAGGCTTCGGATGGCATGTACATCTTAGAGGGCCTCGAGTCCCCTTAAAGGGTCCCTAGGGCGTCCCTTGCGGGTCCCCACGCGAGGGGGTCCATATAGAAGGTCCTGCTGAAGGGGGGTCGCTGGGCAGGGGTCATGGAGCTTGGGGTTCGGTTGGGGTGGCTTTGTTGGGAGAGATCGCCGTTCCATTCTTTTTTTGGTGCTAACGCTTACGAAGCATAGCGTGGTATGAGTCATGATGCTGAAGCAGCATGAAGCGATGGGTAAGGACGAAAGCATGACAACCGATATAAAGCATGAACCATTTAATAAGCTTCTTCTCGACCTGTGATAAGGTAACTTTCAGTGCCTGCGTCTCTGCGTGTGAGAAGTGTCGCAAGTGGCAGTATGCGGTGGATCTGTTGTCTCAGATGGATCGCAAGAGGGTGGCCAAGAATTTAATTACCTACGGTGCTTGCATCAGTGCATGCGCTGCTTGTGGCCAATGGGAGCAGTCGCTGGGTTTGTTGCACGACATGCGATCTGCCGAGATTTTTCCCGACCTGGTGGCCTGCAACGCCTGCATTACCAGTTTTGCCCCACAAGCCCAGTGGCAACTTGCAGTGGGGCTGCTGCAAGACATGCCTGGTTTGAGACTAAACCCCGAGGCTTAGCAGAGCAAGCAACCTTTAGCCTCTTTGGGGTAGTATAAACCCAACCTTTGGAAAAAAACCTGTAACCTTTGCTTTGGAATAATCCCTATAACCTTTACTTTAAAACAATCCCTCTAACCTTTACTTCCCCTTAGGTTTCAGGAACCTGGGCAAGTCAGGATGTGATTTCCTTCAGCGCGGCCGTCGGGTCATGCGAGGAAAGTCGGCAGTGGCAGCAGGCCCTGCACCTCTATGAGCAGATGCGACGCCAAAGTGTTCGGCTTCTTGTTGTCGTCTCCCTAGTAACTATGTTTCATAGCTGTGCGTATAAACTTCAACGGGGTATTTGAGCATCTGTTTATTTCTTAGTCAGTCTAGCCGGCACTGGAAGCTCGAAAGCTGCCTGAAATTAAAAGCTTTCCCTAGTGCAGTTCAAAGACCGCTGCTTCATTGTTGAAGTTGCTGTGAGGCACCTGCTTTCCCTAAACCCTAAACCTCCAAACCCCAAACCCCAAACCCTAAACCCTAAACCCTAAACCCTAAACCCTACATAAACCTTAGCTTCTAAGCCAGCAAAGGCTTGACGATTTCGGACACAACGCCTTGATTGGAGCCTACTCGCGAGCTGGGAAGTGGGACTTGGCTCTGCAGATGCTCTCCTTGAAGAGATCAAGCAGATACCCGGCGCCCTCGACAGAAAGGGTACCAGGGGCCCAGGGGTTTAGGGTTTAGGGTTTAGGGTTTAGGGTTTAGGTTAGGGTTTAGGGTTTAGGGTTTAGGGTTTAGGGTTTAGGGTTTAGGGTTTAGGGTTTAGGTCTTGGGCTTTAGGGGGCAGAGGTTTCGGACTTAGCCTGTGGAAAGGTGAGGAAGGCTGCTCCAAGGAGTGTCAATGATTGCAAGGGTATGTGGGTTTAGGGTTTAGGGTTTAGGGTTTAGGGCGGCAACATGCCAACCACCATGCCCAGAACAAGCTATGCCGTAGCATGCTCGCTTTGCACGGTGTTTGGACATATTTGGGACCTATGGGCTTTGTACAGATCTTTCTGCTGGCTCCGATCGCACTTGCCAAGTCAGTCAGTGACACTGTGAGTCTTTCACGCCCGTCCTCGCCCCAATTCAGGCCATCTCATCGCAGTGTCCCCGGTCACTCCGGGTGCAAAAAGCAGGGAATCATACACGCCTGCGGCGCATAGACTTACAGACGATTAGCGATGCAGCAGCAGCCACAGCCCTGCAGAAACAACTTAAACTGCCAAGCCCACGCAACTCTCTCTCCTCTTTTCCCCCGTGCAGGGGAGAGGGGACCCTAAACCCTAAACCCTAAAACCACAACCCTAAAACCATAAACCCTAAACCCTAAACCCGAAACCCTAAACCCTAAACCTCTCAATCTTCAACCTATGCCACCAAAGCCATCACAGCTCCAAGTATCTCCATGCAACAAACCTCCAGGCGAGCTCGAGACGTGTGTAGCCTATTAGGGCTGATGAGGTTTATAGTAGGGCTCATAGGGTTTCATAGGATGCATAGGGATTCTAGGGGTTTAGAGGGTTTATAGGATTTCTGGGCTTTTAGGGTTGAAGGCTTAGAGGTTTAGTGGTTTTACCAGGTGCAGGGTGCATAATTCGACTTGGGTTTAGTGGTTTAGGGTTTAGGGTTTTAGGGTTTAGGGTTTAGGGTTTAGGGTTTAGGGTTTAGGGTTCCGAGGTGGGCGTCCACGCCTGCAGCGCGTCGGTGAGCGTTTGCGAGAGGGCCGGCCGGTGGCAGGAGGTGCTTCAGCTGTGGCCCACCTTGCAACAGGCGGGGGCGTGGGCGCGGCATCTCCAAAATCCGAGTTTGGTGTTCAAGTTCCAGGGTCTGACTGGGTCTTAGGGTTTAGGGTTTAGGGTTTAGGGTTATAAGGCCCCTAAAACCCTAAATCCTGTAAGGCATATAGGTCTTGGACCCTAGAAGCCCGAGCTCTTTCTTGGTTTGAGGGCCTTTCTGAACCCTAAAAACCCTAAAAACCCTAAGCCCTAAAAACCCTAAAACCCTAAAAACCCTAAACCCTAAAACCCTAAAAACCCTAAATGCCCTAAAACCCTAAACCCTAAAAACCCTAAACCTGCAGAGGTCCAGGAGGAGGCCAACCGGGAGGACGGTGAACTCTACGAGCTCCACTCCGTGGGCCCTGAGGACAGCAGCCGCGGTCCTGCGAAGTTTGCTTTTTTTTGCGAGGGGAGGGGGGGAGGGGGGGTAGGGCTTAAACAAGTTTAGGGTTTAGGGTTTAGGGTTATTTGTGGGGGGCGATCAAGAGGATACGAGATAAGAGGAGGGATCCCTAGAAGGGACCCTACATCCTACTACCCTGCACTATAAACATTATCTACTCCATAGTACATAACAAGGGCCCATTACTTCGGATCCCCATAACCAAGGGTAAGGAACCATACTAAACCCTATACCCTAAACCCTAGACCTCCAAACCCTAAACCCTAAACCCTAAACCCCAAACCCCAAACCCTAAACCCTAAACCCTAAACCCTAAACCCTAAACCTGTCAGGTCATGAAGCATCAGCTCTTAAGTGCCAGGACATCACACGACACCTCGAGAGGGCCCTGGAGTTGCAGTGGCTGGTGGGGTCGCCCGATGTCTGTTTGGTACGTTGATGGGTTTAGGGTTTAGGGTTTAGGGGGTTTAGGGTTTAGGGTTTAGGGTTTAGGGTTCAGGCTTTAATCTGGTTAAAGATAAATTTAACAGAATACTGATTCGAAAGGATCTGTTTAAATTGATAACCTTTTCTCATTCCATGCGCTCACCGGTTCACCGGTTGGGGGCCTTTGGGGGATTCTGGGTTTAGGCTTCAGGTCTTTGGGAGCTTGTGGGGCTCCGCAGGGTGTAGAGTTAAGTAGGGGCTATGCCAGGTGCAGGGTTACATAAATAGGGCGTCACTGGGTTTAGCGGCTTTGTAAGGTTTGGGGTTATGTGTGGTGGTTGGGGTTTATAACGGTTTAGTGATTGACGTATTTGGGGAAAGCAAAAATGCGATGCCATGAATGGTCATGGAGCCCAGGTAGTGAGGGGTCGCGGTGTTTCGGACGGGTGCGCGTTTTTGGGGGTTGTTGGGTTTGTTTTTTGGGTGGTGGCTTGGGATGTTCTCGAAAATGAAGCCGCAAAGTGCTCGTCATTCCTTGGCATGTTCCCCCTTATACTAACAGTCCTTAGTAGGGATTATAGTACCCCTTACTATAGTCCCTACTAAGGAGCCTTTAGTATACGGGGGAACATCCCAAGTCGTTCCCCGCACGCTTGAGGTATCCTTTCCTTGCAGCAGGCCAAGATCAGCTCACACACGGCTTCTACAAGCACACCGGGCTGCGCTGAACTCTATAGGGTTTAGGGTTTAGGGTTTGGGGTTTAGGGTTTAGGGTTTAGGGATGAACTAGGATACAGAGTAGGCCCATGTTCCCCTTTCTTAGGGTTGGGACTCATTTTTTAGCCCTTTTTAAAGCCAAAAGGGTACCCCTTTTTATTCCTAGGTTACTCCTCGGTCTAGGGAAGCCTGAATTCTGAACCCCTAAATCTTAAACCCCGAAAACAAACAACACAGCTAAGCCCTATGAAGCTGGGTAGGTCCTTGGTATCTTTTTTCATGGGTCTGTGTTTTCCACATTTTCCCTTATTTGGGTTTTAAGAGCGTCGTGTTTCGGAATATTCTTCAGAGGGTTTTAAAGGGCTTAACCTAGAGAAGAGTCCGTGTTGACCGGGCCTTTTGGCTTCAAAAGGTCTTCTGGAGGCTGAGGCTCTAAGCCCCATAAGGTTTGGGATCCCCAGCCCGACGTACAATGCCCAAAGCAGCCGCTTGGGCTCGCTTGTGGTTTAGGGTTTAGGGTTTAGGGTCCCAACTGGTTCAATGTTTGGCGAACGTATCAGGGTTCGGGGTTTAAAGCTTCACAGGGCTTTCGATGTTAGATGTCCCTACCATGAACCTCCTGTAACGAATTTCATTTCATATTTCACGATCCTCTTAAAGCCCCCAAGAGGCTACAGAAAGCTAGTACCAAAACCCATGGGCCCATGACACCTTCTTAAGCTCGAAAGCTCGAAAGCTGCAAAAGCCCTTGTGCCTTAAAGCCCTACATCGCTGAAAGGCATGGCGTCGACTAGGGCCTGATTAGGGTTTAGGGCTCGGGTTTCAAGGTGTGACGCCCCAACCACCCCAACAACAACAGCGTACCATCCCTAAACCCTAAACCCTCAACCCTAAATCCTAATTAGGCCCTAAACCCTAAACCCCAAACCCCAAACCCTAAACCCTAAACCCCAAACCCTAAACCCAAAGGACCTCAAGCCTGCCCTACAACAAGGCAAACAGCTCCTTCGATTCAGCCCTTCATGAGCACCGAAAGCCTCAAACCGTTTTCACCCCCAAAGACCGACATAAACCCTGCATATCCCTGCATCCGAAGGACCTGTACCCTAAACCATAAACCCTTCCCTAAACGTCGGACATTTGGGTCTAGTACCTGTGTTCAACCCTTTTGAATACCTTTCAGGCCAAACCCCAAGTATTGGAGATACTAGGCCTCGAATCTCTTCAGCCTAAACCCTAAACCCTAAACCCTAAACCCTAAACCCCCTAAACCCCAAGGTACATTGCAGGCATGCAGGCTCTCTGCGCTCGGGAGCTTTACCGGTTGGTTCCTGAGTCGAAGACGGTTATGGAGACCAGGCTCGCTTTAGGGTTTAGGGTTTAGGGTTTAGGGCTTAGGGTTTAGGGTTTAGGGTTTAGGGTTTAGGGTTTAGGGCTCCGAAATACGGGCGTGCCGGTTTCTTTTTATTTGAGGGTCTAGGCCCAGGCGGTGTTTCAACGAAGTGTTGGAGCTAAGCGGGGACATCATGTTGATCATTTTGGTCTTAGTGGGATACCATGATCCCCCTGTGGAACTGAACATGTCCAGACTTCTTGGGGGCTTATGAATTTACAGCAAGTAAGTGGTGGACCCAGGACATGTTCTGCGGATCGGGCACTGTGCTCGTGGAGGGCTGCGTGGCCGGCAAGCACGTGGTTGGCTGCGACGTGTCTCCACTGGCGCTCTTCGCTGCCGCTCACCACGCGGATGCGCGACACCTTGATCTGGAGATCTTCTTGAAGAGACTTAGTAGAGTGGGTAACCTTTAACCTCCCTAAACCCTAAACCCTAAACCCTAAACCCTAAACCCCCTTTGTGGGGCCTTAAGATCTCCTATAGAACCCCAAAGGTGAACCTTAACTTCCCGTAGGAGACTGGACCATTAAGGAGAAGCCGCGCGCTCACGCACGCCCTGCGGCTGAAGCGCCAGAGCTGGGACTTCCTAAGGTGCCAAATCGCATGCCAAGAGCCCGGCCCTGTGCCTTAGGGATACTTGGAGATCGTTTTTAGGTTTTTGGGTACTATAAGAATCCCTAAGAAAACTTGGAGATATTTTTCTTGTGGGTCCTATGATCCCTAAGAAAGAGGTGCAGGATGCTCTCCACTTCGTGCTGCTGGTTGCCTTGACACTTGGTGGACCAGTGGTACCCTTTTCATTTTTTCCCCTAAACCCTAAACCTTAAACCCTTTTCCCCCTGTCTCGGGTTCAAGGTTCCTTCTTCTCTTCTCAACGCAAGCAACCCCTCAAAAAACTCTTCTACTCTCCAAGGTTCCCTTTTAAAGCTACACCAACTCCAAGAAAAGGGCACCCTTATTATGATATCCATAAACCCTAAACCCTAAACCCTAAACCCTAAACCAAGGACGCGAGCTCGGGATCGGACGTATCTGCACACGTCCTCCAAGGAGTGGGGGAAAGACGAAGCAAACGCGGGGAGCTCTGATGGAGGCCCTGAGGATGATCTGGCGCCGTCGCTAGGCTACTCTTTTTGCGTAAGAGCCCCCACAAAATACAAGTTAAGGTTGGGGCTATCATTATGAGCATTAAAGAATATCATTGGTACCAATACTAATCTTTATTGTTACCATTCTTAGTTCTTGTTAGTCATTGTCATGGCTGTTATATGTACTAGTCTTGCTGTGTCCCTTGTTGGGTTTCAGACATTTACTTGTTCAGAGGAGTTTAAGGACCAACTGTTTTGGCTGTGTTGAACATACCAATTTTTCTCAATAGTAAGATTTATGTTGCTATCACCAATAAGAATACTTCGTTATCAATAACACGACCACTTTCATGCTAAACCCCAAGCCCTAAACGGTAGCCACTAAACCCTAAATCCTAATTCCCAAACCCGAAACCCTTGGGGGGGCCGCCTAGGTCGCTGTTCCATGGGATGTCCCAGCTCTTCGCAGCCCGCGTCCGGTCACTGCGGGCCGCGATGCCCAGAAGAAGTCAGGCGGGGGGTTTAGGGTTTATTGGGGTCCCTTAAGGAGGAGGGTTTTGGGTCTGCCTTAGTAGGTTTTGGGCTCTTAAGGTAGGGCTAAAAGGGGTCTGGCTTTATCCTAAAGACCCCGAAGCCTATAGACCTTGCACCTTACCCCCTACACCGACACTCGACATAGACCCTATAAACCCTAAACCCTAAACCCTAAGCCCTAAACCCTAAACCCTAAACCCTAAACCCTAAACCCCAAACCCTAAACCCTAAACCCTAAACCAAGCCCCGAGGTGCAGATTCATCGCTGCGACAATCGAGTTCTGCAGCTCCAAGAGCCCGTGGACTCCATTATCACGGGACCCTTGGGGGTTTAGGGTTTAGGGTTTTGGGTTTAGGGTTTAGGGTTTAGGCCCTAAAATTGGGGTCATAGACCCGATGCTACTATGATCCCTATTAAGGCAGGTGGACCATGAACCCGTTTAGGGTTCGTTTGGTGCCCAAGGACCTCCCTACCCGGGAGTGTATGATTATCACGCGCCGGCCAGCGCGACCGCTGATCTGCTGGGCGCCCAGGTGCTGTACGACTTCTGCGCGCCAGGTGCTATCGCAAGGGCACCATACCCTGAAGAACCCGTATAAACCCTTTGAAGCCGTCAACCCCTAAAAACCCATAAACAACCCTGTAAACCCTATAAGCCCTTTTACCCCAAAATAGAAACCCCAACTCCTCGGTAGAACCCTAAACCCTAGACCCTAGACCCTAAACCCTAAACCCTAAACCCTAAACCCTAAACCCTAAACCCTAAACCCTAAACCCAACTGCCAGGCCGCAGTGTGGGTGGCGGCCGGGCCCCGACCCTGGAAGACCACCTCGACCACCTCTCCTCCCAGTACGCCCCAGGACTTGAGGGGTTAAGGGTTTTAGGGTTTAGGGTTTAAGGGTTTAGGGTTAGGGTTTAGGGTTTAAGGGTTTATGGTTTAGGGTTTAAGGGGTTAAGGGTTTGGGGGTTTAAGGGTTTAAGGGTTTAGGGTTTGGGGTTTGGGGTTTGGGGTTTGATGCTTGGGGTTTAGGGTTTACGGTTCATGTAGTTTTTTTCGTAGTTCGCCTCGGCCCTGCGCAGCCGCATGTGAAGACGAGGGGAGGGGGGGGGGCGAGGCGGGGTGGGGGGGCGGGGTGGTTGGAGGGGGCGGGGTGGTTGGGGGTTAGGCCTTAGGGTTTCTATAGGGTTCACTTCGCTTCGGGTTATTTAAAAGGTTCATTTGTAGGGGATTTAGATTTCAGTTAAGGTTTTTATCGGCTCAACTTAGGGCTTTTTATAGGGCTCATGCAGTTTCATGTTTTAAACAGGGAATTGTGTAGGGTTCATATGAGGTTTACAGGGTTCAGGGTTGAGGGCCTCAGGCCTGAGGTATCACCTTAAGGGGCATGTTTGTGCATTGTTCCTTGTGGGTCTGAGTTAGGGCCATCCTTGCGGTACAGAGTTGAGGGTTCAGAGTCCAGGTCTCAGGGTTTAGGGTTTAGGGCTAAACCCGAACCCGCAACCCGAAATGCAAACAGGAAGGGAGATCGGGCAAAATAGCCAGCTTCGAGAAGCCTCGGACTACGCGTCCAAGTGGCGGGCCGAGCAAGAAGCATGGCTTGCCTCGGCTTGCAGGAGTCTAAACTACTAATTGCTTGGGTTTAGGGTTCAGGGTTTAGGATTTAGGGTCTAGGGTTTAGGGTTTAGGGATATTCTTCCTATTAAGGGCAACATAGGAATGATTTTGTTTATGTTCTTTTGGGGCTCTTCAGCAAGTAGTAGTAAATGGGGCTTGAGGGTCAAGGGTCCAGAGGGTTTTAGGCGCAAGACCCTCAACCTAAACCCGAAACTCTGTCAGGATTTAGGGTTGAGGTTCAGGGTCCGCAATGGAGTTTCGTGGTTAGCGTCTATGGCTATGGGCTTTGGGTGTATACAAAGGGAAGTTAAGTTTCAGGGCTTCGGATTTAGAAGTTTTGAAAGGGTTTTGCTCCAATTTGCGTAGCCGAGGGAATTGGGCAACGGGCTCGGATAAGATGCAAGGCGATTCCGCTTGCCGTTTGGGTGTCAGGGTACCCCAAGCCCTAAGCCCCTAAGCCCCTAAGCCCCTAAGCCCTAAACTCTAACCCTAAACCCTAAACCCTAAACCCTACACCCTAAACCCTAAACCCTAAACCCTAAACCCTAAACCCTAAACCGCCCAGTGCCTGGAGGAACCTGCGCTCCGGGGGCACGGCCACGCTGATGATCGGCGATGGGGATCGGTTTGCTGTGGGCGACGGCAAGTTCGACAACCTGAAACCCACTGTGGCCAGGAATTCTAGGGTTTAGGGTTTAGGGTTTAGGGTTTAGGATTTAGGGTTTAGGGTTTAGGGTTTAGGATTTAGGGTTTAGGGTTTAGGGTTGAGGGTTTAGGCGCATTCGGCCCTTTTGGGACATCGCACATCTTGCTTTGTCGGGCTAAGGCATCCTCGTACGAGGGCTTAGGGCTAACAGGCTTTCGTGGAATCCTTGTCTTTTCTCCCATTTTTCCTGGGTTCCTTTCCAAAGCCGACAGAACAAGGTGACCCTGGCTATATAGTCTAGCCCTTAACAGGGCCCTCTATAGGGTTGATTATGTTCGGATACCCTATAACCCCGTCTAAGGGCCCTTTAAGTAGGGTTGATTATGTTGCTTAGAAGGCCTACATCGCCCCTCCTGCTCGCCCAACCCAGGTAGAGGCTGCCGAAAAGGTGGGCTTCCGACTGCTGGCAACAGCTTCCATCATTGGTAAGAGCAGGCATCCCACCCAACCGAGAGGAATCTCGGTAGGCTATATTTTGGGACATGTGATATTAAGAGGACTATCTTTTGGGAACCCTAAACCCTAAACCCTAAACCCCCAGAGGGCTTTAATGGCCATCCGAGGAATGAAGAGAACTGAGCACATGGTGCACCTGCTGAAGCCGGGGTGATGGCCAAGAGACCGGTATCCTTCTACACAGTCTCTGGCCAGGAAAGGGTCCCCCCATGGACTCTTCGCAAGGACACTGACCGGTGTGGCTATCGCCCGTAGTCAGGGTGCGAAGTTCGCCGAGGCAGTCGATGGCCACCGCTCCGGGCAAGAAGCGGCAGAAAACAGGCACAACCTGGCTTTGGACACTGTCAGGCCTGCAACTTTGGGCATTTTTTGGAGAATCCCAGGGCCGCAAGGGCACGCGGACGACTCTGCCTTCGGCTATGAGAATGGCAAGGTCGCCAGGTCGTCCAAGAGGATGTTGCACACGCCGGCGCCAACTTTGCACAAAAGCCTTGTCCATGGCGCCTGATGAGCCCAAAACGGATCTTGGAACCTGAGGAAAGGATGGCTACAGCCTGCAGGACTTGTGGTGCCTAGAGCTTGGAGATAGGTTTCAATTCCTGACCTCCCCCCCCCAAGAAAACAAACAAAAACAACGCAAAAACAAAAACTGACCGAGTAATCTTTACTCACTATCCTCACGTAGCTGCACGAGCATCCGGAGTGTGATCCACATCAAGCCGAAAGAAGTCACTGCGATGGAAGGCCTACAAACTGACCGAGTAATAGGGGATCAGGGCGACCTCCACTCCCAACTAGTCCAAAGACGACTTTGAATGACCCTTTGAACCCTAAACCCAGAACCTCCACTCCTCCCCGCCCCCCAAGTTACTTAACCCTTGACCCCTAAATCCTAGACCCTAGACCCTAAACCCCTGCCCTACCTCCCTGTAAGGGCCTTATACCCTCTGCCATATGTTGGGGGGGAGGTCTGGTCTAGGTGAAAACCCTCCAAACCTTTGAAAGCAATCAAAACACTTCGCGTGTAGGTTCTCTGAAGTGGCTGAAACCCTACAACCCTTAAACCACTGCAAGCCCTGCTCTGCACAAGCCCTTGAGCAAGCCTTAAGCCCTCCGAACCCTGCAACCCCAACAAACTCGGTTTAGGGTTTGGGGTTTAGGGTTTAGGGTTTAGGGTCAAAACCTTGAGGCCCTAAAGCCCTGGAAGCAGCCTCCAGCCCCCTACCAGCTCTGCATCTCTAAGGCTCTGGGTATTATTTGCATCCTTAACCAAAAGGTTTTCACCCTAAACCCCTAATCCTCAAGCCACCAAGCCCTATAAGGCTATGTACCCTGTAAACCCCCAAAACGCTTATTCAAAAAACAAAACAAGAGATTAAGCCCTAAACACCCTTACTCAAAAACCCTTCAACACACGACAGCACTCCAAAAGCAGCCCTCAAGACACATGCAAAACCTGAGAAAGCCTAAGCCTCTAACCGGGTAGCCCACGGTTTGCAGGCCACGCCGCCCTCCACTGCGGGCAGCACAAGGAGGCGCCTGCGAGGCCGTGAAAGCTGCTGGGGTTTAGGGTTTAGGGTTTAGGGTTTAGGGTCTAGGGTTTAGGGTTTAGGGTTTAGGGCAGTTTAGGGCTACACGGGGGGGCTTCTCCCTTGGCAGCCCAGTGGTACCCTTTTCCCCCTTTTTTTTGGTTCAAGGTTCCCCTCTCAAGCAACCAGCCGAAAAAAGAGATACCTGTATCGCACGGAAACTGGGCTGCCAAGTTTATTGTTTTGCAGTTTAAGAGGTTTTAGGGTTTAGGGTTAGAGCTTGGGGGCTTTGGGGGGCTTTTGGGGTACGTCGTCGTATGCTGCCGCTGGCCCGATGGGTCTTAAGAGTTTTTCTGGTTTCATCCGGAGGCAGGCTGAGGTCGAGAGCTTATTTCTCCTTATTCCGAGGGCTTAGGGTTTACAGGGTTTAGGGTTGCCTGAGAGAATCCTGATTCAGAATCATCGTTTTGCAGGAGGGTTTGAGTTGGGCGGGACTCCGGTGTAGGCTGAGGCTTGGGTTTTTTTATAGATTACTCAGCTGCTAAACCCGAACCCTAAAACCCAAACCCCACACCCAAATACCCTAAAATCCCGAAGGCCCTAAACCCTAAACCCTAAAAACTCTAAACCCTAAACCCTAAACCCCTAAAACCTCTAAAACCCTTTTGGGAATAGGGATCTCGGGCCAGGCACACAGATGATCGGGAAGACGAGATCCCGGCCATGGGAGGTGAAAGCCTCTTTGTCGGCATCTGGGGCCTTTAGGGCCCTAAACCCTCAAACCCTTTAGGGCCCTTAGGGCCTATAGGGCCATTAGGGTTTAGGGTGCACATTTCGAACTTGTACAGCTTTTAGCTTCATAGGTTTTCAGAGGGCTCAATTCTGGAGTGCCAAAATGGTTTGGCAGCCCCTAAGCTTTTCAGCCCCGTACCCCGGGAAGAGCCGCGAAAATCCCATTTATTCAGCCCTACAATGCCCCAACCCCGTAAACTCTGCCATCCGTAAACCCTAAACCCTAAACCGCTCTGAGATCCCTTTCATAAAGCCACAAAGGTTCCCCCTCCTCCTCCCCCCTCCGCTTCAGCGCAAACCCAGTTTGGAGTTCAGTGTAGGGGTCAGTGGGTTTTAGGGTTTCGGGCTTGGGGATTAGGGCTTAGGGTCTCGGGTTTAGGGTTTGGGGTTTTGGGCTTAGGGTTTGATAAGGTTTAAGGCCGTTCCATACATCCTTCTCAGCTGGAGTTGTTTGACGCCCGGTTCTGGGTGCGCGAACCCAACATCTTCCTGGACACTTGGGAATTTACGAGAACGCTGCCCCCCTGAGATAAACCAATATCATAGGATCCCTTAGGTTTAAGGGTTTAGGGTTTAGGGTTTAGGTTTACCCCCATCATAAATCCCGATTAAGGACTGTTGGTATAAGGGTGAACATCCCAAAAGATCCCCTTGTAATAAGGGCCCCATAAAGGTACCCCTAATTCCGGACACCCCCACTTCTGCCTGTCATTGATTTGCAGCTAAGGACGAGCAAAGGAAGACTTTTCCACTGGTGAGTTTTCATCGTAGCTTGTGCAAGGTACAAGCTTGAGATGGAAGAAGTGGATTCACGAAGCCCTTCCTTGTTGAGGCAGGAGAGGCCAGACCGTCATAATTCACGCATCGGATTATAGAAATGGATGCCTCAGCAAGACACATCGGTGATGGTAGCCGGCTTTTAGTTTTCGCTCACGGCAAAGTCGTGCGACTTGTTTTACGTGGATTTTTGAACCCTTGTCGCCATAAGGGTCCGCTCGTTGAGCGGCAACGTGACTCCGAGCTAATTCGTGAAGTTTAAACGGAGAATTGAAGAACAGCCTTCGCATGGCCTCACATTGGCTTCTCGCGCAAGTGCCCAGCTTCCGAGATCTTATCCCACTTCCGACTAAGACCGAAGAAGTCAAATCCCTTTACCCAAAGGTCTCGAGACAAGAGCCCTTTCTGGACTACTGCCTCCCTAAACCCTAAACCCTAAACTGCATGACGACTCTGCCGGGCGTGTGTGCCAAGCTTGCAGAACACCCGCAAGCCTCCACGACCGTGAAAAAGTGGCCCTACAGCCACCCGTCCCCCCCACTCTCCAACCTTCAAAACTTGAACCTAAACCCTAAACCCTAAACCCTAAACCCTAAACCCTAAACCCTAAACCCTAAACCCTAAACCCTAAACCCTAAACCCTAAACCCTAAACCCTAAACCCTAAACCCTAAAACCCTAAACCCTAAAACCCTAAACCCTAAACCCTAAAGGCCTTTCAAGACCCTTCTCCCAATCCCCCCCCCCCCCACACCCCCGAAGTGCATGAAAGAACATCTTTCTGGGGGATGTATCGACTGCTTCTGCTGCGCGCTGCGGCAAAACAGGCTTGAATGGGTGGTTTTGACACGGTCATGGCCCACGTAGTACAGTAAACTCGAAAAAGTTGGAACATCCTTATCCCCATACCCCACGAGGTATGCCAAAGGGAATCCCAGCTCTAATCAGCCTTAGACCATGTTCCAACTTTCTAGCTCCTAGCATGGGGTGGGGGGGGGTATGTCAGAGTCAGGGCCGAAGATCATAAGGGTCAAGAAAAGGCCCTTCATTGAAGAGGACCCCGAAACTGCTGAAGCTTTCAGGGAAGGCGGGCTCTGAATATTACGGCCGCATACCTTCTTGCAAGGGTTAGGGGTCTTGTGTTTTCTAGGGTCTAAAAGGGGTAGATATGTAAGGTATACAAGAATGTTCACAACCCTAAACCCTGAACCTAAGCCCTAAGCCCTAAACCCTACACCTAAGCCCTAAACCCTAAACCCTAAACCCTAAACCCTAAGTCAGGTCGTGCGAGGTAGCGGCAGAAGTCGCAGGGAAGTTCGGCAACGCTCTGTCCTTGATCAGCCCTGAACCCTAAGCCCTGATCCAAATTCTACAAGACCCCCTTGCCCAAAAAAATCAAACATGATAACCCCTATACTACCCTTAGAAGGAAGAATATGTTTTTTTGTTTTAACATATTTCTGTGGGCTCTTAAGCAATTGGTAGTAGTTGGGTGGATGGCACTGTGATATAGCTGTAAGCATTAGGCCTAGGATGGCAACTTAGCGGACCTTTGGGTGGATTATCCTAGTACTGGGTGTAGGGTTTGGGGTTTAGGGTTTAGGGTTTAGGGTTTAGGGATTGTATCCTAGGGTGGGGGGTGGGGGGGGGGGGGGGGGGGTGGCCATACACCTAAATAGGAAGGGATAGCTCTACCTTGCTATTGGTATGTTCGGTGGGTTTATAAGTCTATGCATATACATATATATATATATATATATGTATACATACGTATATACATAACAGAGAGATAGATAGGATTCATGAGGGCTTGGTATTGGTAGTTGCTTGGGCTGTGCAACGACGCGTGGATGCGGGCTCCTTGCTGGTTCAGAGAATTGCAGTGTGAAGACTTACGCTTTAGGCTTTCGGCGCTCATGGAGTTTAATTCGGGCCCACCGCCGCCCAGAATGAAGCTTCAGCAGGCTTCAGCAGACCAGGAGCAACATTTGTTGCAGTTTGAGCGACTGAGCCTGGCTTAGGGTTTATTGTTTAGGGTTTAGGGTTTAGGGGAGACGTCTTCAGAAACTCCCTTAGACGCCATGGCGCTCCTCAGTGAGGTGGGAGCTCCAGGGCACTGTGAGCCCGATGCTTGTTCTTCTGCTCGGCAACTCGAAAAACCCTCGACCCTAAACCGCCGAGAATCGCTGCACAGTCACCACACATTGGTGTAATCTTAGTCTTCTGGGAGATTCCGCAAAAAACTAGGCTTGTTCAAGAACTAGATCGAAGATATTTCAGGTTTCTGACACACGAAGTTCCGAGCACCGGACAGCATCCTAACATCCAGAACTCGATAAGCCCCAGGTTTCCGTAAGCCCATGTAAGCCCAAATCCTACTCCGCCTCCCAACAACATGAAAAAAACAGCACAAACATAAGAGAAGCATAACAAGGTTTGAGATTTTGGACTCGGGCCGTATCCCGCCCGCCGGAATCTCGGTTGCCAGGCTTTTGCCCTGGGTGTGGCGCCGCCGCTACTGCCTGTTACGAGGTCGAGTCAGGGTTCAGCGTTTAGGGTTCATTTAGGGTTTATGGTTTAGGGTTTCGGGCTTAAGGGTTCAGGGGCCGGGCATGAGGACGATAGGTACCGTCCTGGTCAGTTCTCCTGTCATGGTCCTTTGTTTTGCGCCCCTGTTATATTGCCTGGCCCCTGAGTTTTTGAGGGTTTAGGGTTTAGGCTTTAGGGCTTAGGTAGAAGCCCAAAAAGGGAGCAACATGGTGCGAGCGTGGCCATCTGGGTAGGTCTCTGAGTTGTGATCCTTTGTGGGGCTACCTGTAATATAGGTCTCCGTGTCATAACAAGATTCCCACAGCCCTAAACCCTGCGAAGAAAGAGTAAGAGAAGCAGCTTATGGAGTCTAGGGTGTTCGGGTTTAGGGTTTAAGGTTTAGGGTTTAGGGTATAGGGTTTAGAGTGCAGGGTTTAGGGTTAAGGGTTAAGGGTTTTTTAGACCTAGAGTTCCAAAGCCCCGCACCTCTTAACAGCCAGCCCTTCGCATTTCAAGGAGCGATTTCCCTTAAGTGGGGGCCCTTAGCAGTAGGCACGTATACGAAATAGCCAGGGGCAGGTGGGTTCTGGCAAGCGCCTACAAACAACCCCCTAAACCCCTTAACCCTCATTAAACCCTAAGCCCTAAACCCCAAACCCCAAACCCCAGACCCTAAACCCTAAACCCAAACCCTAAGCCCAAACCCTAAACCCTAAACCCTTAACCCTTACGGTGACGTTTTTTAAATAAGTGGAGGGCGGCCAACCAGCAACGGCCAGGGGGGTAGTATAAAAGACCAGTTTAAATCCGCATGTTTTCGTGTTTATGCACAGCCCCCTCCAGCCAAGCCCCCCTCCAGCCCCCCCTCCAGCCAAACCCAACCCTTCCTCCACCTCCAGGCTCCACAAACCCCCTCTCCACCCCCTTCAGCCAAGCCCCCTCCAGCCAACACCCCACCCCCTCCAAGCCCCCCTCCAGCCAACCACCCACCCCCTCTCCAGCCAACCCCCACCCCTCTCCACCCTTCCCGCCAACACCCTCAAACCGCCCTCTCTCCAGCCAACCCCCCCTCCAGCCAAGCCCCCCCCCCTCCAGCCAACCCAGTTTTCTGGGGGCGGTGGGTTTGGAGTTGGGGTGTTGGCTGGAGGCGGTTGGCTGGAGGGGGTTGGCTGGTGGAAACCCTGCTGGGGTTTGGAGGGGTGCTGGGTGGAGGTTGGCTGGCTGGAGGGGGGGTGTTGGCTGGAGGGGGCTTTGGCTGGAGGGTGTTTTGGGGGGGTGTTGGCTGGATGGGGGCGGTTGGTTAGGCGGGTGTTTTGGGGGGGGCTGGGGGGGGGGGTGTTGGCTGGAGGGGGTTGGCTGGTGGAAACCGGCTGGGGGTTGGAGGGGTGCTGGGTGGAGGTTGGCTGGCTGGAGGGGGGGTGTTGGCTGGAGGCTTTGGCTGGAGGGTTTTGGGGGGTGTTGGCTGGATGGGGGCGGTTGGCTGTGGAGGGGGGGGGGGGGGCTGGGGGGGGTGTTGGCTGGTGGCGGTTGGCTGGAGGGGGTTGGCTGGTGGAAACCGGCTGGGGGCTGGGTGGAGGTTGGCTGGCTGGAGGGGGGTGTTGGCTGGAGGGGGCTTTGGCTGGAGGGTGTTTTGGGGGGTGTTGGCTGGATGGGGGCGGTTGGCTGTGGAGGGGGGCTTGGCTAGGCGTTTTGGGGGGGGCTGGGGGGGGAGGGGAGGGGGTGTTGGCTGGAGGCGGAGGGGGTTGGTTGGTGGAGGTGGGGTTGGAGGGGTGTTGGGTGGAGGTTGGCTGGCTGGAGGGGGGGGTGTTGGCTGGAGGGGGCTTTGGCTGGATGGGGGCGGTTGGCTGTGGAGGGGGGCTTGGCTAGGCGGGTGTTTTGGGGGGGGCTGGGGGGGGGAGGGGGTGTTGGCTGGAGGATGTGGGGTTTGGCTGGAGGGGTTGGCTGGAGGGGTGGTTAGGGTGTTTGGCTGGGGGCTGGAGAGAGGGCGGTTTGAGGGTGTTGGCTGGAGGGGGTTTGGGTGATTGTGAGGTTGGTGGGGGGGGGGGGTGTTGGCTGGAGGGGGGCTGGGCGCGGGAAGGCTTGCTGGAGGGTCTATTTCCGGATGTTTAAAACGCTGGGCGGCCTGACGCCGCGCTCCACGGAGGTAGTATGAAATACCTGTTTGACTGTTTAGATGTCCGGGTATTTAAAAACAGGCACCGTAACCCTAAACCCTAAACCCTAAACCCTAAACCCTAAACCCTAAACCCTAAACCCTAAACCCTAAACCCTAGCCCTAAACCCTAAACCCTCCTTGCACACAGGCTGGCCTCCAAGCCCGGGCGGGCGAGGTATGAAGCTCCGGAGCGAGGCAGCGCACGGGTCATTCATAGGGTGAAGTTAGTTTAGGGTTTAGGGCTTAGGGCTTAGGGCTTAGGGCTTAGGGCTTAGGGCTTAGGGCTTAGGGCTTAGGGCTTAGGGCTTAGGGCTTAGGGCTTAGGGCTTGGGGCTTAGGGCTTAGGGCTTCGGGCTTAGGGCTTAGGGATGGATGGCTTGCGGCTTCAGCTGAGGGTTCTCGAAGATCCTTGCCTACGATTCTAGCAGCGATCAAACATGGTCTAACGAGAGCTTGCCAAGAAGCAGGTCGCGTAAGAGCTCCGCAAGGGATGGAATTCCCAGCTGTCCCAGTTTGTGTTTCATGAGCCTCCACCAAAACCACTTTGAGCACCGCGAAAGCCGCGCAAGCACGGTGCAAGCAGACAATTTGGGGTTGCACCCGAAAAGCGCTTAGGGCTTCCTTAATAGGCTGAGACTTGTGCTTTTAAGGCTTTGGAGATCTACATGCCTTATGTCCTAGTCACGCAGGCCGGAGCAGCTGTGGGCATAATGCTCGCCCCCCAACACCTCATGTTTTGAATTTCGCCTTCTTTCGTTCAAATAGGATCTTATGCAGGAGTCTGTTCGGAGGGTCGTATATACGCGCGAGCCACCGATCATTAAGCAAGTTGTATCTCGACAATACCCTAAACCCCTAACCCTATACACCCTAACAACCCTAAACCCCATAAACCCTATAAACCCTATAAACCCCATAAACCCTATAAACCCTATAAAACCCTATAAACCCTATACACCCTATAAACCCTAAACCCTATAAACCCTATGAATCCTATAAACCCTAAAACCCTAAACCCTATAAACCCTAAACCCCATAAACTCCAAACCCTTGACCGGCTCCAGGTTTGCCGTCCGCGCTCTCTGCCGCTGCAGTGTTGGTGGCGGGTGGCCTTGTGGCGAAGAGGCGACGTTTGGGGTTTAGGGTTTAGGGCTTAGGGTTTAGGGTGCCCATGCCCTTGCTGAACTCCGAAACCCTAGACCCCAAAACCCAGCCCTAAACCTCTATAAACCCTAGACCGCAAACCTCTAAGCTCTCCCTCTGAACCCCGAAATCCCCAAACCCCTTAACGCCTAAGCCTCTAAACCCTATAGCCAGGCGGATGGCAGGCACTCGGACAAGCGCCGTGGCGCTGAGGGCCGCAGGGCTCTGAGCTGATGGTTGAGGGGTTTAGGGTTTAGGGTTTAGGGTTTAGGGTTTAGGGTTTAGGGTTTAGGGTTTAGGGTTTAGGGTTTAGGGTTTAGGGGAAGCACAGTTGAGGTGCTTGGGGTGCTGTTGCACCAGAGACTTAGCAACAGCTTATGTTTCATGACCTGTAGCGTCTCCCTAGGTCAAAGTGCGATTTGCTTGCTGCGAGAGATCTGCCATCCAGTTATCTTAAGTTGAAACAGCGGGATCCACGATTGCTTCCCGTCCAGGCGAAGAAGAAGGCCACCACAAAGAAGGCCCAGGGAGGGCGGGAATCTGTCACGACCTTGCCTAACCCAAAATCCTAAACCCTCAACCCTCTAGGATTGGGGGGTTGAGGGTTTCATTGTCCCAAGCACACGGCTTGCTGCAAGGGGGTTGCACAGCTGAAATATTCTTCAGACTGGAGGAAGCCACAACCTAAGCTGCGAGGAGAAGCCCTGGGCCCCGGACCCTGCCTAGAGCAGCCTTCATACCCTCAAAAAAATAGGAAGGACATGCGCCATACTGCTTGGGCGTATGGACCGTTTATGAGGTATACGGTTGCCCCACGTGGTCCTTGAGCCCCACGAATCTCCACGCCCGTAAGACCTCGATCCCCCCACGCCAACAAACTAAACCATAATTATGTCATTAGTGTTTTGGGTCTCTTCTTCATTTTGTCGAGTATTATTTCGCTGCCTCAGTTACTTCTTGACTTGTTGATCATGATCGTACAGCGACCATGATTACAATTATGTGGAGGAGATGGTGGCTGTCCTACATTATGTTTTCTCTGATTGGGTGGCTTTACTACGGTTCATTCCCTTTCCTAGCAGTGAACAATCATCGCGCACGTTACCATGAACAAGTCTTCAGCTGTAACATAACATGCTTTACCCACGAAACACGAGAATAGGACCCCGACTATCCGACGACCCGGTAATTTGCACTTGGGCGTTTAGGGCAATGTCGCAAGATGTCGAATGGTCACTTGGTGCGCAGTTGATTAGCCCACAGCGGCGAGTGCAGCGCCTCTTTGTGGAGGAGTGCCCCTTCTTGGGGGAGATTGGGTAGTGAGGGCAATTGTATTTCCTTTCTGGTTTCAAGGGCTGAAAGAAGCCTGCATCATTAAGCAATTCCCAGTGGTTGCTTGGTCGCAGGCAGTGGAGGGATTGCTGGCTCTTGGAGTGTAGACTGTGCTAAAGCTGAAAGCCCACGCTACATCCCGAAGGCCCGAATCCCAAAATGTAACTTCCCGGCTATCGCGAGAGGTCTTAATTTCTCTCAAGCCTAAACCCTAAATCCATGATCCTAAGCCTTTACCTGGGTTCGGTGTCCGCCCTGAATAGTAGGAGTGGCTTGTTTGTCTTGAACCCTTAAACCAAAATAAACCCTGAACCCCCCCAATTCTCGAGCCTAAACCGCGCAACTCCGGACTTTCTCCTCCCCCTAAAAAAAGCCAAGGCTTTGCGAGAATGAGAGCCTTTCCTCTACAGGTTCTGCAAGAGCTGAGAACCATATTATAGGCTTAGGGCTGAGGGCCTTGCAGTGCGAGGAGTTCAAGAAGACGATGTTCTCGCCCAACCCGTGGTATGAATGCCCGGAGGCACGGCTTCATCTCTGTGGCTACTGGGTCATGTAGGGTGGAGGGGGGTTTAGGGTTTAGGATTTTGGGACCCCCTGGTCATGCGGAGGAGACGTTTCCTGGCGGCACGAAGCGCATCTACGACTATTGGATGACGAACAGGCGACGCATGCAGCAGCAGTGTTGTCGGTCACTGTTGGGGGGCAGTTGTTCAAGATTTTGTAATGTCTTCCCAGCGCGCATGGTTCCCAAAGGGCCCCTTGTATGAAAAAAAGGAAATGCTCGCACTTTAAAGTACTTAACAGTACTTCCAACGGAGTGATGCTGGGGCCCAGGTTTATCTGCTATTTGCTTAAGAACCCAAAAGAATATACATATATATATATATATATTTGTTTATTTATTTATATTTATATGTATATTATTTATATTGCCCTTATAGGAGGATTTTTTTCGGGGGGGGTTCCTAAGGAATTCGTAGATATAGAGGTACATGGGCCCTTTGGGGTTCTGCATCCCCTGCATCTCTTATGTCGGCTTTTTGCCCTGAAGACTGGCTGGGGTTCTTAGTAGGGAATTATGGGGGGAATGAGGCACCCTATATCATCCCTTAGAGGGCATATACAGGGTCCTGATTCCCTCATTCCGTGCCAAGAATCAGAGGGGGGAGGGGTGGGTACGGGGGGGCAGCACAGCCAACTATTGGCACACATATGCAAAAAGGAGCTCGCAGGGCACTGCCCGAGAATTTATTGGTCAAGCCCCAACTCGCGGGAGGTGGCACAGGGAAAGTGCTAACCCCCCCTTTGAGAGAGGCCTGCTGCGCGATTGAAGCGGTCTTTGAACGCCTTGCCAAAGAATGCAATGATGAGAGATGTGCGGCTGTCCCCGAGATGGTGAGGCCATTCCTGTGTCCGACGCCAAACATGCAGACCATGTTGGTTTAGGGTTTAGGATTTAGGGTTTAGGGTTTAGGGTTTAGGGCGGATTAAGTGCCCAGGGCATGAGCCAGGCCAAGAGCAGGACAGAGAGCCTGCTACGCGTAATTTCAAGAGGGAGGGACCAGAACAGAACAGGTGGCCTTGCGACAAAGATGGCTCGACATTGCAGGAGCTGTGCACTAAACGTTGTGTTTATTGCCGCCTTTAAAGGTTCATGCTAATATTTCTTTAAACTCTTGAACCATCGAGCCAGCACCCCAAATCCTTAGTCCCCAAACCCTGAAGCCGAAGCTTCTGCCAGGAATGATCTGCAGGTCGACAGCAAGGGAAACTTCAACCATTTAACCCTAAACCCCTTTGAGCCCTGAACCTCAAACCCTAAACCTCTCTCAACCCTAAACCCTAGACCCTCAACCCTAAACCCTAGAGCCCTACACCCTAAAACCCTAAACCCTAAACCCTAAACCCTAAACCCTAAACCCTAAACCCTAAACCCTAAACCCTAAACCCTAAACCTCAACTGCTCGTGCGTGGGCTCGGGAGGCCCACCCGAGACATCGAGCGCATTGATGATGGGCGGGACGGCTGCGGCTGTGCCTGGAAGCAGGCAGGGTTTAGGGGTTAGGGTTTAGGGTTTAGGGTTTAGGGTTTAGGATCCAGGATCCTTTCAAAAACAATTCCTTTCTGTACCTGAAGAAGTATGGGCCCTTGGTTTGAATATGGTATATACTTGGAGGTTCATGGTACTTACTAACCAATTATAGCTGTACTTAGAACTGTACTTACAGCCATATTAGGGCACTTAAGGGGCTTATAAGTGGGTTATAAGCACAGGTTATAATTGGTTAATAAGTACCAAAAAACTCCAAGTAGGGGGTATGTAAGGCTTCCCCAACCCATAGTAAGTACCCTGAGACCCCCCCCCCCCCTTTGTTACCGTGCCCATTATGCTGTGGGTGCAGGATTTAGCTGCCATGGTTGCCTCTTTGTATGGGGTTTGCCATGCCCTACCCCTGCCCAAGTAAGGCCAATAGCTTGAGATCAAGGCTTACTTGGCTTTAGTTTGTGTACGGGGTAGTATGGGTAGTTGGGGTGCTGCTAGGACCCTATAATCTTATCCGTGCCCGATGACCCTGCAAACTCTTTTCTTGCAACTGCAGCTCATGCAACTTCCCTAAACCCCGAAACAAGCCCTAAATACTATTACCCAAAACTCTCTAAGCCCAAAACGCCGAAACAAGGTCACGTGTTGATAACAAACCTGGTGTCCAGCACTCTTTTCTGTGACATGCAAGGGGCCAATCTACTGTCATGTGCAGCGATTTGGGCATACTGTGGTTGTCATGTGTTGGACAGCAGGACACGTCAAATCTAGTTTTTGCCATGTCTAAACCCTCAACCCTCAACCCTCAACCCTCAACCCTCAACCCTCAACCCTCAACCCTCAACCCTCAACCCTAAACCCTAAACCCTAAAACCCTAAACCCTAAAACCCTAAACTCTAAACCACTAAACCCCTAAACCCAAAACCCAAAACCCCTAAACCCCTAAACGCTAACCTATATATATATACATATATATATATATATGTATATATATATATATGTATATGTATATGCACATGAAACCACCAGGTTTTTATCAACACGCCTCCTGAAACAAGGAGCCCTAAACATTGAGCCCACGTACCCACAACTCTTTCAGCCCGAAGCCCTTCTTGGAGGTTCATGGGTACTTAATACCCCCAATTATGAGTCTACTTGTAACCTACTTAGAGGACTTAGGGGACTTAGGGGGCTTATAAGTACAATGATAATTGGGGATAGAAGTATCCTGAACCTCCAAGTACGATCTCCTGTCAGATTGATGGGCGACGTGGGGTGTCTTATGCCGCTCGGCACCAATGGCAAAGCCGCGCCGATCTGCCCCTCATACGCCCCGTATGACTGATAGCATGAACGAACCGAAATACAAATTGAGTTCAAGTAGGCCACTATGTTATGCCCACAGTTGAACTTTTTGGCTCAAAACCCAACTTTTCAACTTTTGGGCTTCTTATAAGTTAGTTTATTCTGAAAGTTTCAACTTTTATTTCCTTGATGTTTGGGCCAGTAAGTGAAGCGACCAAGAATTTGGTTCAGGACCGTTTGACAAGGACACGCAGGTTAGGGTGCAGGGGCTCGGGGCCTGGGGATCAGGGGTTCCAGTCAGTAGGACTACCCTAAACCCTAAACCCTAACCCCTAAACCCTAAACCCTAAACCCTAAACCCTAAAGGCACCTACCTGAGGCTGAAGTGCCCAAAGCGAAGTCTTTACGGCCGTATTCCACGTACACGTACTTTGTTCAGTCAGGCTGATTCGGGGATACTCGTGAATCATGAGCCCTAGCCCTAAACCCTAAACCCGAAACCCTAAACCCTAAACCCCAAACCCGAAACCCTAAACCCTAAACCCTAAACCCTAAACCCTAAACCCTAAACCCTAAACCCTAAACCCTAAACCCTAAACCCTAAACCCTAACCCTAAATCCTAAATCCTAAACCCTAAAGGGCCTCTTCATGGCTTGAGGCTGAGTGGCTGTGACTCAGGTGACTTTCAATGAGGAGGGTCAGGTCGTCTACGTGCGCGAGGCCTGCCAGAGCTCATGAATCAATCCCCCCCCTTCCCTCAACCCTAAACCCCAAACCCGAAACCCTAAACCCTAAACCCTAAGCCCGAAACCTAAACGCTAAAACGACAAGAGTAACAACAATGAGACAAGACATACTTTATTACATCCCGCCTCCCCTTCCAAAACCTTAAAGAAAAAACGGAGAGAGAAGGGAGCAATCCCAACCCTTGAATCCCTACAGCTCAAGGACATCTGAGCTCGCAGCCCTGCCATGGGCGCTCATACCCTCTAACCCCCCAAAAAGGTCCCTATTTGTGGGGTTGTTTCTAAGGCTATCTTACTGGCTCAAAACCCAACTTTTCAACTTTTGGGCTTCTTATAAGTTAGTTTATTCTGAAAGTTTCAACTTTTATTTCCTTGATTTTTGGGCCAGTAAGCTATTAGAGCCCATCCTGCTACACAGCCCAAGAACCCGAAACCCCTAAACCAAACCCTTACCCCCGAAACCTTGCACCCTCAAACGACGAGACAACCCAAGCCCCAAGATGCAAACCCCTCTGAAACCTTCCTAAGTACCCTAAACCCTAAACCCTAAACCCTAAACCCTGAACCCTAAACCCTAAACCCTGAACCCTGAACTCCTATATAAAATGCTCTCGCAGTCGCCTCTAGATTTAGGGTGTTTTTTTGCAGCTCCCAGGGTTGAAGGAGTAGGGATCTTGGGGGGGGGGGGGGGGGGGGTATACAAGTGGGGTTTAGGTGGTAGAGTTGGAAACTGCTGGTTTGGGTTGCAGCCCTTAAACCCTTCAACCCTTAAAACCCTAAACCCTGCCAGTGTCTTCGCGAACCCTAAGCTTCCTGTGCTGCAAGAGCAGTGCAGCATCTGTGGGTCATGTGGTGTAGTGCTCTGTCTGCAGGGAGTCAACCCTAAAACCCTGGACACCTATAGAAACACCCTGAAACCCCAGAAAACCCTAATCTACAACTCAAAAACCCTAAAAGCCGAAAACCCTAAAGAGCCCTAAAAAACCCAATCTAGAACCCTCACCAAAAAAGCCCCGTAAAGAAAACCCTTCCAAATGACCCTTAAAGAACCCTTGAAAAAAAACTCTTGATAAACCCCCAGACGCTGCAAAAAACCTTAAAGAACCCTAACAAAAACCCTTAACAAACCCCTAATCTAGAAGCAAGCGCCCTTAGGGTTTTTTTAACGTTAAGACACCCTCAAAATCACAAACCCCTAGTCCAGAAGCCATGCGCCTCGACCCGCGCAGGTCGGCGAGCCCCAGGGCGTGGGGAAGTTCAAGGACAACACCATGACGCCTGGGCGCACTTAGGGTTTCGGGTTTCGGGTTTAGGGTTTCGGGTTTAGGGTTTGAGGTTTAGGGTTTGGGGTTTGGGGTTTAGGGTTTAGGGTTTAGGGTTTAGGGTTTAGGTTTAGGGTTTTGAATTGGGGTTTGGGGTTTCGGGTTTGCAGTTTTGAATTTGGGGTTCAGGGTTCAAGGTTTAAGCATCCGACCTCCCCCTGGTTGAGTTGAGGGTTTTGGGTTTTCGAAGGCACCTTTGACGTTCTCTATTGTATCAAGTTTCATGTCTTATGGACCTAAGAGCACCATGTTCCGGAATAAGAGGTGGTAATTGAGAGCGTAGCCCGCCTCCGAAACAGGAAATACTTTGGGTGGTGCCCTAAGCCCTAAGCCCTGAACCCTAAACCCTAAACCCCTTGCTTCGTTCTTGGCCCAGGGCCGGCGAATCGGTGAGCTACGACCACAGAAGTCCTAATCTCCCTAAACCTCCAAACCCCTATACCCTACCCCCCCCCCCCCTACAGTAAACTCCAAAAACTTGGAACATCCTTATCCCCAGGCCCCAAAAGTTTTCAAAAGGCATACTAAAACCCCAGCTCCAACCATCCTGAAACCATGTTCCAACGTTCTGGAGTTTACTGCAAGACCCATTCAGCCATCCATCATAAAATCAAACACTGATGATGGCAAAGCCCCTGAACCAACCCCTTGAATACTTCCTAAACCCTTCATTCCCTAACCCCGAACCCCTCAACCCCTCAACCCTTCAAACCCCAAACCCCTAAACCCTCAACCCTTAAACCCTAAACCCCTGAAACCCTAAAAGCCCTAAACCCTCAACCCTGAACCCTAAACTCTAAAACCTTAATTAAACCCTCAACCCTCAACCCTTAAACCCCTAACACCCCTAAACCCTCAACTCCTCAACCCTTCAAACCCTAAACCCGAAAGCCCCTAAACCCCCGAAACCCTCAACCCTAAACCCTCAACCCTCAACCCTTAAACCCCTGAACCTTCCATCCCTCTTCAAAGCATCGATCTGCCAGCAGAAGTAAGGAAGAGCCTTCAGCCATAGACCCAGAGCTCCAGCGTTTAGGGTTTAGGGTTTAGGGGCTAGGGGCTTGGGGCTTAGGGTTTAGATAGTTCGGCGCTCTGGTTAGTTTGCAGACATTTTGGGAGTGTAGGATGGAGGGCTTGAATTAGGTTTACTTAGGGCAGTAGGGTTATTTGCAGGTAATTTGGCGGGATCTAGGGCTCTGGGAGAGTTGGGTTTGGGATTTAAGGGCACAGGCCTGCAAGGTTATCTGCAGATTGTTGTGTGTGTGAGAGAGAGAGAGTGTCTTTTTGTTTCCCGCTTTGCGGGGGGGGGGGGGGGGGGGGGTGGGCGTTTAAGTTTCAAGGGCTTCCGGGCTCTACTTTTGTTCTTCCTAAACGTAACTTTAAGGAACAGGTACTCAAGACTGAATGCCAGATTCTCCGAGGAATACAATACTATCCCTTTCTCTTCATGAAAGGGGCCCATCAGGGAACCTGACCCTAAACCCTAAACCCTAAACCCTGCCTAAACCCTAAACCCTAAAACAAGGCGGTGAGGGGGGTTGAAGTGTCATCAGCGCCGTTGGGTTCTTTGCAGATATTGCGGGGGGTTTAGGTTTTCAGAGGTCAGGTACAGCCCGCAGCCGAGGAGCCAGCTTCAACCCACCCGGGCAGGTCCCACCCCTAACCCTAGACCCTAAACCCTTCAACGCTGCACACCAGGCCAGTGATGGGCGTGATGAACGCAATCACGGGCGCGCTCAACATTGCGGACCGGGGCGCCAATGGGTGGGGAGGTGATTTGGGGAGCCTATAGCAGCTGTAGCACTTATAAGGGTTATATCAGGGTTTAGGGTTTAGGGTCTAGGACTCTAAACCCTAAACCCCTAAACTCCTAAACCCCTAAACCCTAAACCCTGGTCCAAGGCTTAAAGAGTTTAGGATAGTTTAGGGTTTAGGGTTTAGGGTTTATATTGTATAGTGGTATAGTATGTTGGGGGGTATGTTTAGGGGATCCCTGTCATGGGAAAATGCCCGAAGCTGGTCGCTGCCTAGAGTTTCCTTAAGCCC